AAAAAAAAAAAAAAAAAAAAAAAAAAAAGACAAAACCTTTCACAGCGGCTGCCAGGACCGGGGGGGCACCTAGGCTCTCCTTTTCCCTCTTGGCCGCGGCACAACTTCAGCCCCCCGCACTGCTGCCCGTGACGTTGATGTAGTGAAGGCATTATAAGTCGTAAGTCATTTTCCCCTACCCATGCTGGCCCCTAATTTCCTTCTCGGCACCTTATCGCAGTCATTAGGGGCGTTTAAGGTGCGGTGCAGCGTGGGGGCCCCCGGCTGGAGTGCTGCACGAGGAGCGGCGTTTAGGTGGGGAAAGGCCGCTGTGACGGTCGAAAGGGGAAAACGACCCCAGCCCTGAGGCCTCCGGGCCTGCTGCGAGGGGGGGGGGCGGCGGCAGAGCGGGTCACGGGCCCGGCTGCTTTCGGAGACAAGGTCACCCGGGGAGGGGGGCGACCAGCTTCTCTCGGGATGCGGCGCAGCCCCGGGGCGCCGCTGGGCCGGGACCGCGCCGGAGAGACGCGGCGAAGACCCACGGAATAGATGGATGAAGATTGGAGGGGTGCCCCCAAGTGCCCCCCCTTCTTTCCCCTAAGATCCCAGAAGGAGCCCCAGAGTTCTGCTACCCCGCCGAGCTGGGAGCAGCGGTTCCGCAGCACCTGGAAGGGCTTGTGATTGCTGGGGGCTCACTCACCTGAAAAAGTCATTCTTGCAGTAGAGTTTTCCTTCCCTGGAGAAGCATTTCTCGGTCAGGTTGCATTTGCACTCGCAGCACTGGACGCATTTGATGTGCCATGCCCTGTCCAAGACATTCAGCAGGAAGCGGTCCAAAATCGGCCTCTCGCAGCCCGCACAATGCACCATCATCACCGCGCCGGGATGGAAACGCGCAGACGAAAGGAATCAGCCCCGCGCCGGCACACGACGGGGTCTCAAAAATTCGGACGTCAGGAAGAAAAATGCTATTTAAAAAAAAATAAAAAAATAAAGAAATCCCCAAGCCCACAACCAACCAACCAAAAAAATAATAGTAATAATAATTAAAAAAAAAAAAAAAAGAAAGAATTATAAAAAAATGATAAGAATTTAAAAAAAAAATCAGAAAAAAAATCAGGGAGGGGGAGCGGAATCGCTGTCAAGTTCTTCCCCCTCTTCTCTCCGGAGCCTCGGTAGGAAAAAAGCGGTGCCCCGAGCGAGAGAAGCCAGAGCCCCCCCGCGGAAGCCCCCCGAGTCCCTGCAGAGCGGGCGGGGAGCGGCGGGCGCGCTGCGTGCGGGTGCGGGAGGGGTGCATGAACGCCCCCGCAGCGGCCGGCGGCCCCGGTGCCTCGCTGTGCTCCGCCGCCGCGCCGCCACTCTCATGCTGTCCCCATCGCCAGCTTTGTCCCCCGCCTTAGTAATTCGCGCATCCTTATTCAGATTTGGTGACGTGGGGGCCCGCGTCGGGCGGGCGGCGGCCAATGGCAGCGCGGTGGCCATGGCAACCTCTTAATTTATAGCATATCTAAATTGGCTCCAGCCTTGTGCTTGGCACAGAGGGAAAAAAACAACGCGCCTCTATTGTTGAGGGTGGCTTGTACCTGCGCCGCCAAGTGAGTACGCACCTGGCCTGGGGTGCCGGGGGGGCTCTGCTCAGCCTTTCTCTCTCTCTCTCTTTAATTATCTCTTTGATGGGGATGTTCGTTCCGGGGGTCCCGAGCGGGGACGGGGCGGCCGTCACTTGTTCTGTCACTGTTCGCACCACTCCCGCAGCTGTTCCCCTCTCAGCCCGCTCTGTGCCCGGGGTGGGCGGTGAAAGCACGAAGGGGGTGAGGGTGGGGGGGGGAGGAGGCACCCGGGGGTGGGGACAGAGGAGACGAAAAGTTACGCGGCTCTGCGCAGTGCCGTGCCCCCCCCGCCGGCCTTTGTCGCGCAGCCGTGTCCCCTCCGGGCCGCTCCGTCGGGAGAGGGGCTGACACTGAGCGGGAGGGGGGGAGGGCGACGAGAAGGAGGGGGATGCCGCAGCCGGGGGTCGCCGCACTTCTCCGCTGTTTGTCCTCTTCAGTTTCAGGTGCGGCGGAGCTGCGAGAACCGGCGGCGGCGAGGGACGCCGGGACACCGCGCTTCGGCCCTGGGGTGGCCCTCGCGTTCCTCCCTTCCCCGCAGCCGCCCCTCTACATCCGTCCTCGCTCGTTCTCCGCACTGGGGAGGAAGGAGCAGAACGGCCGGGTTGAAAGAATCTCAGTAGCGGCCAAAAAAGAAACCCCAAAACCGCAGGATAAGGGCATCGCCGGGCAGGGGAAGGAGGATCGGTGAGTTTGGGGAGAGGGAAACGAAGAGAAGAAATGCGGAGACCACCAACAGAACAAATGAAAATAGAGGAGGAAAGAAAAGAAAAGAAAAAGCAAAAGGGAAAATAAAACGAAAAATACAGAAGCAAACCAAACGAAAAACAGAACAACTGCAGAGGGAAACAGAAGAAAAAAAAAAAGAAAAAAAAAAAAAAAAGAGAGGGAGAGAAAGAGGAGGAAATAAAAGCAAACAAACGAGGGCTAACAAAAAAGAAAAACGAAAATAAACGAAAAAGGAGGGGGAAATAAAGAAAAAATGAAGATAAAAGAAAAAGAAAAAAAAGAAGATGAAAGAAAAAGAAGCAAAGGAAGATGGGGGAAAAGAACGAAAAAAAAAAAAAGGAAAATAAAAATTATGAGAGAAGAACGGAATGGAGAAGCAAACAGGGAAAACAACAGAAGAATGGAAGAGAAAAGAGGAAGAAATTAAAAGAAAGGGATAAGAGAAAGAACGGAAAATAAAGAAAACGAAAAAGGGAAAGCCAGGAAAGAAGCGCCCGCGAAAGCGAGTGAGAAGAGGAAGGAAATGAAAGAAAACAAAGAGAGGAGGAAATTCAGAAAGCAACAACTGGAAAAGAAAGAAATAGGAAGGAAAAGGGAAACGGAGCGAAGAGCAGGAGCCGCTGGGGCCCCGGGCCGTCTGCCGCAGCGCCTCCGCCAAAGTTTGACCTCTGTCCCCCCCGCTCCGCGGCGCTTCGTGCTGCGGAAAGCGGGGGTGCGGGGCCAAACCCCGGAGCCGGCGGCATCTCGGCGCAGCCCCGACCCCGCAACTCCCGGCGTCAGCGCGGCCGGGCCGGGACCCAGCGAGCCGCTCGCCGTGTGCGTGCGTGCCTGCGGCCGTGTGCGCACACAGCCACGCACCCCGATGCGCGCACACCTCCGGGCGAGGGCAGCGTGCGGGCGGCGGAGCCGCTTTTCAGGCTCGATTTTATTTCCACGGCGGCTCCCGGTGCGCCCCGTCGGCGCCGTGCGGGGCTCCGCTCTGCGGTACCGACCCCCGGGACCCCCCCGTGTCCGCCGTGCGGGCGGGGCCGCGGGTGCGAAGCGCTACTCTCCCCGCCGCCGGGCTCGGCCCCCCGTTTCGTTGGAAAGCCAAAAAATAAATAAATGCAACGGGGAGGGGAGAACAAGAACGCAGCCCGGTGGCCCCCCAGCCCGCTCCCGCCAGAGCATTCCTTATGGTAACAGCTGGTGATTCAGGCGGCGGAATATCGCCTGTATGTAACTAATAAACCTATTGTGTTTTAACAGGGCAACGCGTGCAGGAGCGGCGTCGCTCATACAAGATGTCGATGGAATTTACTACATTAAAAAAATCTCCTTTCAAGAATAAAGTGTATCAACTTACAGCACAACAAGCGACAGAGGGATGAGTGAAACAGACAAAAGACAAACAAGATAATAATCTGTTTCCAATCAGTTAAGCCCTGTAGAATTTGTAATACGCGGTTTGCATATTCCCCCTGTGTTTTGTAATTAATTATCTATCTGTTAGGATGCTCCGCCGCCGACTTTGTTGATATTTCCAACTAGTTTTTGTGGAGCCGCCGGGGAGCGGCGGAGCAGCGCGGACGGCGGGGCCGGGAGCCGAATCCTATCCGCGGCCGTCCGCGGGGCTGTGCGGGGCTGTGCGGGGCTCCCGCCGCTCGCCCCCTCTCCCCTCCCCACATCCCCACCCGGCAAAAGCGGGACAGTGCGATTTTAACATTAAACAAACCCAGCAAGCATCTCCTCGCCGGGCCATAGGCGTTTCTGAGTGACTGCGTTACAAATTGTAAATTTAAATAGCTCACAGGATTCATTACCTCCCGCGTCTGATTTCACCCAGCCGTGAAAAATTGTCCTGGAGTACCACTGAGAAAGGGTTTGCTGCAAAGAGCCCCGGTCTAATCACCAGCTTTCTCTCTGCAACAAAAGTGTAATTATTTTGTTTTGGGTGTAAATATAACCCACCGTACAAAAAAAAAAAAAAAAAAAAAAAAAAAAAAAAAAAAAAGGATAAACCTCCAGCAGCGTCTGAATGCATTACGGAGACGTTTAAAAAGATCCGTCCTAAATTAACACCAAGGTTAAAGGGGGGAAGGCAGCTGGGACGTGGAAATTTCCACGTGCTGCGGGTGGCGGAGGTGCGGGCGCGGAGGGCGCGGAGAAGGTGCGCTCCCACCGCCCGGCTCCGCGCACAAAGAGCCGCGCAACCCCGCTCAGCGGCGCAACATCCCCCCACCTCCCACCAGGTCCCCCCTCTTTTCCCATCTCGGTCCTGGGAAGCGGGGCCCCCCGCCCGCCTCGGGGCTGTTTTGTTAAAAGGTGGAGAGGGGGTGGGGTAGGGACAGAAAACAAACAACCAAACAACCCCCCCTCCCCGCCCCCTCCCCCCAAACCGCTATCCAAACGACGGATAGGGGAATTATTTATTTATTTGTTTTTTACCCCCGCTTTTCTGTTTTTTAACGAATTAATTGTTTCCTTCCCTCCGAGCTCCAGCCAGGGCTGTCGGAGGAAGGGCAGGCAAAAACGAAATCCGGCGTCAAGGTGAGGCCCCGGAAAGGCGAAAGGCTCTGCGATTAGGTTCGCTCGGTGCCGCTTAAGGGGGCGGGGGGGGGGGGGGCAGGGGGAGGGTGGGAAAGAGGAAAAAAAGAAAGAAAGAAAGGAAAAAAAAGAACAAAAAAAGCAAAAGAAGCAAGCAAGTAAGGAAAGAAAACCCCAAACCCACAAAAGCAGGAGAGGGGAAGCCGCTCTGCTGCGGGATGGCGCGGATCCCCGGTGCCGGCAGCCCCTACCCGCTCCGCCATGGGGCAGCCCCAGCCCTGCCGTGCTCTGCCCCCGCCCCGGCCCCGCCGCTGCCCCCCATTGCCCCGTCCGCAGCTCCGGGCCGGATTTCGTGCGGCACGGATTTCTCTGGTGTTTTATCGTTTGCTTGCTTCCCCCTTCCCTTCTCAGTGCAGTTTAATCGGTTGGTTTTATTTTTTTTTTTATATATATATAATATTATATACCTTTTTTTTTTTTTTTTTTTTTTTTTTTTTTTTTTTTTTTT